TGTCCTGGTGGCCAGCAACGCCAGAGGCCTCTTTGTTCAGAACCTTTGCCCCATCAGCATCTCCTACAGTGCGCCCGAGTTCCCACCTGGTCCACGCCCGCATAAGCTGCGCTGCAACGAGTATGTGGAGCTCTTCAAAACCGCCCACTTCTGCAGAGGTGAGGTTGCTGCAGCCCAGCTCCTGACCTCCCCCCGCCCGTGTTAGTCTGCTCTGTACTCTTCCCCTTGCACTTCCTCCAGCAGATCCACCATCACAGTCCATGGATGGCACCCTGCACTTGCTGGTGCACATCCTGTGAGGCCCTGTGTTCAGCTGTGGCAGCTGCCTGGCAGCCTTCCTTCCGCAGTCCATCCCGCGGAAGATGAGGCTCAGGTGGAGTCCAGCACAAGAGCATCACAGCTCAGAGAGCACCATCACATGGACGTATACAGTAATCACGGGAAGGTGCACCTCGTGGGCCTCTCCTACACACATGCACACACATTCAGGAGAGCTGACACGTGTCACACACTCTGGCCCTACCACACTCCAGGCGTCCCCTCAAATTGCCCCTTTCCCATCCACACTTGGAATTCCATTTCCTGCCTCCGTTCAACTCTAAATCTGGCCTTGGAAGGGGGGCCAGGAGTACAGGGACACAGAGCTTGAGTGTTTCCTGGGCCATGGGTGCCCTGACACAGGCAAGATAGTATGAGCAGGCAACCAACGTGTGCGAACATGTGTGTGAGCAGCCAAGGCTGCTGCTGAGAAGACGCTAAACTCCCAGCAGTGAACATGTCAGGTGGTGTAGAGTACTACCGCTAAGTACTTCCTGCTGGAGGAAGGAGTACTTTTTCCTATCTGCACATGGGTGAGTACCACTTGGTCCTAGCATTTCTCCTGCACAAGGCAGCAGGCGTGTGACCCTGTAGCTCCTGTTCTGGCCTTCATCTCCAGGTGGCCCCACTGCCACCTCTCTTTCTCCATTATGGGTTCTTCCCTGCTCCCTCCCTCCCTGCCTATGGCCTTCTCCCTTCTCTTCTTATTCTTCCAACTCTTACCTTCTCTCTTTCAGACTTGGAGAGGTACTTCCAGGGCCTGGGCCCCCCACCCAAGTTCCAGGTGACACTGAATTTCTTAGAGGAGGACCCTGACCCCAGCCACACCCCACAGAGTCTTATCTCAGTTCAGGTGAGTCCAGGGCAGGGTGAGCATAGCTGCCTGTGTAGGCGAGGGGGTCCAGGAGAAGGGCCCTGGGGTGGGCAGGGGTGGGGGCTGCCCTGCTGTGCTCATGATGCCCTCTTCCCACCTCTTCTGGCGCAGATGGAGCAGGCCTTTGCTCGGCATTTACTGGCAGAGCGTCCAGAGGACCAGGCAGCCGCTCTGTCCCTGGTGCAGAGCCTGGAAGACCTACCTTCCTCCTCTCTGCTTGGGTCTTCCTATTTTCTCTGAAAGAGACTCATTCTCCACACTATGGACCTGCCTCCCTCGGTGATAATTCTTAGTGGTTGTCTGTGATGGTATGTCCTTCAACTCCTCATGGTGTCTGGCTGGTTTTTAGCCATTTTTTTATTTGTTTGTTTTAATTTTTGAGATGTACCCCCTTTTATCTCTGAGGAACTGAACTGGGAAAGTCCAAATGGTGTGAACTCAGGAGGACCGTTTCCTCTTCCCCCAGCCCTAAAGCCAAGCACTTTATATTTTCTTTTTAAAATAAAATGTTATTGAAAAAGGAAACCGGATCTGATTTGTTTGGATGATAAGGTAGCAGGGGTCATGGAGGTAACCGAGATGCGACATGAGAGTCGGGCACTGGGGTTTTCTTCCTGCTGGAATCTCTGGGCCCCTTCCTCTCCTCCACCCACAGGTTCTGTCAAGGAACAGTCTGAGCACTGCAGGTTTGCGGCCTGGCTTCTGTACCTTCTACCCAGGATTAGGGTCAGGGTCAGCCCTCAAAAGGGACACTGAGACCACAGCCACCAACTTTACATGAGAAGATCCTGGGCTCTATAGTTCTTCGGTAGAGCCGTCTGATTTGGGCCTTACAATGGGCCTAGAGTTGGACTCTAGACTGGAGATATAAATGAACAGAGCTTGAAGTTGACCTGACACCATGGCCCAGAGGCCTTGGGGCTGGGAGGGGAAATCAGAGGGAGGAGTCTGGCCAAGACTGCTGTGTCACCAACACTCTGTTCACAGATTTGAGGGGTCCAAATAAGCTTTCCTCACCCCATGTTTATTTGCCACCAAACTGGACATTTTTTCTTCACAAGGTCACTTGTCATCCTTCTTTTCTGTGTATAATCAATTCCAGCAGGATAGTTCAGACCTAAATCACCACTTACTGATTGCCATGGCCTCCAGCTTCCCCCTTCCAGCACACGCACTAGATTAGAGGAGAAGGGGCCTCCCAGACCAGATTCCTTCCTGTCATGTCACTCATAAGCCTTCGGTGGCTCATGATCAAATCTAAATATCTAGAAGCTTGAGGATCTTGCTGGCTCACTTGACAAACTTGAGTGCTGCTTTTGAGTGTTTCTACCTCCTCAGGCCTTCCTTCTCTTCAGTCTTTGCCATCATCCTCCAGGCATTGAAGAAATCAGGTACTGAGTGCACAGGTGCACAGCCCTGCTGTGCCCTCAATTTGCTGAATTCCCTCCTGGACCTTTGTACCTGCTACCTCCTTCAGGTAGGCGCGGGACTTGCCTCCTCTCTTCCCTTAGCACCCTCCTAAATAGCAGTTTTCACTACTCTATATTCTATGCTGTATCGTTTTTCTTCATAGTACTGACCACTTCACATGTTTCTATTCGTCAGTTTGTCTATCTTCTCTCCTTCCTTACTCTTTGAGAACAGGGACTTATTCTGTTCATTGCTATAGTCCCGGTGCCTAAAAGAGCACCTGGCACATTGTAGGCGCTTGTGCCCAGCCGGTGTGGCTCAGAGGCTGAGCATCAACTTATGAACCAGGAGGAGGTCACGGTTCAATTCCTGGTCAGGGCACATGCCTGGGTTGTGGGCTTAGTCCCCAGTGGGGTCATGCAGGAGGAAACCAATCAATGATTCTCTCTCGTCGTTGATGTTTCTAGCTCTCTCTCCCTCTCCCTTCCCCTCTGAAATCAATAAAAATATAAAAAAATAAAAAACGGCCTAAAGCCCTGGCCAGTTTGGCTCAGTGGATGGAGCGTCGGCCTACAGACTGAGGGGTCCCAGGTTTGATTCCGGTCAAGGGCATGTACCTCGGTTGTGGGCACATCCCCAGTGGGAGGTACGCAGGAGGCGGCTGATCGATGTTTCTCTCTCACCGATGTTTCTGACTCTCCGTCCCTCTCCCTTCCTCTCTGTACTGACTGGAATCGAACTTGGGACCCTTCAGTCCGCAGGCCGACGCTCTATCCACTGAGCCAAACCGGTCAGGGCGATAAAATATATTTTAAAAAGACGGCATAAATACTTGAATGAATGAATGAATGAATGAATGAATGGGTGAACAAATTATCTCCTAAACTAGGTTCTAAGCACCGTAAGGGAAGGCACCCCCATTTTATCATCTTTGTGCCCCAAGGTGAACACTTGTGAACATTGACAGCTTATGTACATGACTGAAACAATTATAAGTATCTTATATAAGCCAATTTAGCCGAACACAGTGAAATAGGGATTGGGAACACTGAAAGAGCAAAGTTCCTAACCAGGCTGTCGCCAAGGAATTGTGTGGTCTGGACAAATCTGTATTAGCCTCCATTGTCTCATTTGTAAAGCCAAGGTTTGGCCTGGATTTTGAAATCCCTTTTAGCCTTGACATCCTGTGGTTGTAAGTTTAGGGTAACTGCACAGTCATTTGGCAAATATTTACTGAACTAGGTTCCGGGCACTAATTGAAAACACAAGACCCCAATCTCTGAGCTCCCAGATGGAAAGAGCAAAATAAAATAGGGTCAGCTGGGCTGCAATAGGAGCTGAGTCGTAAAGAGGCATGGCCTGGAGTGGAGGCTGGGAAGGGCATCTAGACTAAAGAAATGGATGTGCAAAGGCAGGAGGCATGGAGACAAGGGATATTTGTAACTAGAACATAACAATTTTACACGAAGAATTGTTTGAGACAAATGGCTGTGGGTGCTGAGAGTATATCCTGCACCCAACAAAGCTAACGGTCAGTTCCAGCCAGGAGAACATTTACGACGGAAACAGCCAGATCAGGCATGCCCACACCTTAAACTGTTCAAGTTTAGGAAATGACCCAGCAAGTCCTCTCATTACTTCCTGTGAGATCTGAGTTTTCCCCCCACCAACCTGTGGTGACTCCCAGGTCACCTCACACCGTTTCTACCTGCCAGCTCACGGACCAAAGACGGACCAATCGATTGCTGCCTGGTGGGGTTTGGGGGGAGGGGGCAAGGTCTAACGCGGGTCAGCCTCGGTTGAAACGCCCTGTTACCCGGCTGGCGGCAGGCGAGGCTGGGATTTGCTCTCCTCTCATTGGTCGGCCGAGAAGCGCCGGGGAACCCTTGTTACTAGAGAAGAGAACGAGAGCCCATTGGTCAGGTCACCTCACAATGGTCGGGCAGCTCGCAGGTTCTGCCAATTGGTTCGTTTCTGCCTGCGGGGAGGGCTGTCGCCTGGACCCCAGCAGGCAGCTAGGCGCCCTGGAAGGAGCTCAGCCGCGCCGACCCCTGTTCCCATTGGCCCGTTGGCTCTCCTGGGACCACCCTCTGTGCCGAGGTGGGCGGAGCATCCGAGCGCGTGCTCCTGCGGCGCGACCGAGGCCGGCGGGCGGGCGACCCTGTTGAAGTTGTCGCTGCCCGAGCTGAGAGCAAAGGCCCGAGAGCCCGGCGTGTCTGCCGCGGGCAGCCGTTTCCCAGGAGCTCTGCATCCCCAACCTGCTCCAGTAAGTTCGAGGCCCATGTGGCGTGCAAACCCTGCAGGGCCGACGAAGGGAGCATCCCTGTGTACCTCGTCTGCGTTTCCTTGTACCTGTCCCTTCATCGTTTATCCATCACGTGCGTAAAGGGTCCTTTACTTGGCATTGGGGTCCATCTGCTGCCCAACCTGTCCAAACCCTTATTTCTCTCTGACGGTGCTGGGAAATACTGTGCCCTAAGGAATCCGGATCGAGAGCCAAACGGAGGAGCGGTGAGAACGAGAGGGTGAGACCCCGGAGGCACGATGTTCTACTATCCCAATGTGCTTCAGCGCCACACGGGCTGCTTCTCCACTATCTGGTAAAGGCGGCCGGCCCGGGGGGCGGGGGTGGGGACGCCCTGGGATCCCCACCTGACAGCCCCCCCCTCCCCACCCCCACTCTGTCCAGGTTGGCAGCAACGCGTGGCAGCCGGTTGGTAAAGCGTGAATACCTGAAGGTGAATGTGGTGAAGACCTGGTAAGGCCCAGAAAAGGGAGGGGTGACCTGGTACTGGTGTCGGTTAGGGGTGGGCAAGGTGGTGGGGCCGGTTCTTAGGGCAGGCACAGCGGTGACCAGGGCACGTTGTTTCCCCAGCGAGGAAATCCTCCGTTATGTGCTGGTACAAGTGCAGCCCTCGCAGCCCGGCCTGCCGCGCCCCCGCTTCTCCCTCTATCTCTCAGCCCAGCTCCAGATTGGGGTGATCCGGGTCTACTCACAGCAATGCCAGTACCTCGTAGGTAAGGCTGGGAAGGCTGCACGGAAGTGGGGCAGAGCTGGGTGGCCCTCTAGGGTGGCTCCCCACCTTGCCCTCCCGCCCACAGAGGACATCCAGCACATCCTGGAGCGCCTGCACCGTGCCCAGTTGCAGATCCGAATAGATATGGTGGAGGCTGAACTGTGAGTGTCCCCTGGGACTGAGACCCCCCAGCCTTTGGTGGGGAACCTCACTGCCGGCCTTCGCCCATCTCAGCCTCAGTCCTCGACAGCCACGTTCTCTCTCAGCCCCAGCCTGCTGCTCCCTAACCGCCTGGCCATGATGGAGACCCTGGAAGATGCTCCAGACCCCTTTTTTGGGATGATGTCTGTGGATCCCAGGCTTCCCAGCCCCTTCGATATCCCTCAGGTGGGCCCGTTCTCCCAGGACACCCTCAGGGGGTGATGGTACAGAGGGGAGTGCTGTTCCTGGACCAGTCTGACTCTGGGGTTGGGGGGGGGGGAAGGGAGCTGCCACAGCTCTGCCCCACAGGAGTCAGTGCCGGGGGCTGTCATGGTGAACCAATCCAGACAAGCCTGCTCCACTTACGCAAGACCAGCCTAGAGGCAGCTCTTCTCCTCACTCATCTCCACACTGTCCCCACTGCCGAGGCCCTAATCCAGGCCTTCGTTGTCCCTCGGCACTAGGTTTCCCTACCCGTGTCCTTCTCCATTTATTCCTAACACCCCCCGCAACTTAGACAATCTTCCTTTAAAGACATCTTCAGGGATTCCCCGCTGCAAACAGAATACTGGCATTTGGGGCTCTGTGCCCTGACCCGGAGCTAGCCATCCCCAGACATCTCAGCGCATTCTCTGGGCATTTTTGTCTCCCAACACATCAGTCTGGCCCCTGGTCCCAAAGATGCCACATTCAGCTCTTTGCTTAAGTCCATGATGGTTACCCTGTTCTCTACTAATCCAATCCCACATATTCTTATAGACCTCACTCAGATGCTACCCTTTTCCATGAAGCTTCTACCCACTCCCAGCCAAAACCAAATGTTCTGGAACTCAGCCTTGCTTTATCCTTTGTGTTGGCCCTTGCTAGGGTCATATACAAACTTGTCTCCCCTCTGGACCTTATGCTCCTTAAGAAGAACACTTTTTTTCCCTTCTGTCCCCCACAACTTGATATAAGGGTGCAGTGCTTCTAGCACAAATTGACAAAGACTAAGTAACTGGTGGGGGGACGGGGATCATGTGGGCGGGAAAGGAGGAAAGGAGACCAGATGGCAAAGAGGGTTCACTGCGTGCCAATACAAGAATTCGGCATTAAAAGGTATGACTGTCCAGGTGTGAATGAGATTGTGAAAGCGGGAAAACAGGGTTGAAGCTGAGCCCTATATTTGTCTCCAATCCCTCTCCAAAGATCCGACACCTTTTGGAGGCTGTGACCCCAGAGAGAGTCCCTGAGGAGACCCCTCCCGAAGTCCCCATAGAGCCTGGGAAGCCAGGTGAGCAGAGAAGGACTTCTTTCTGGTGGGAGGTATAGAAGCTCTAACAGCTTAAGAAATAACCATCTTTGAGCCCTAGCTGGTTTGGCTCAGTGAGTACAGTGTCGGCCTGTGGACTAAAGGGTCCCAGGTTCGATTCTGGCCAAGGGCACGTGCCTGGGTTGCGGTCTCAATCCCCAGTGTGGGGCATGCAGGAGGCAGCCAATGATTCTCTCTCATCATTGATGTTTTTATCTCTCTCTCCCTCTCCTTTCCTCTCTGGAATCAATAAAAATACTTTTTTTAAAAAAGAAAGAAATAACCATCTTTGAGCTTCTCTTCAGAGCCAGGCCCTGGCCCTGGCCCTGGCCGGATGGCTCAGTTGGTTAGAGCATAGTTCTATACATCAAAAGGTTGTGGATTCTATCCCTGGTTGGGGCACTTACAGGAGGAAGCCGATCGATGTTTCTCTGTCTCTCTCCTTGCTTTCCTCCCCCCACCCTAAAAATAAAAGAAAAGTATCCTTGGGTGAGGATTGAAAATACTTTTTTAAAAAAATATATATATTTTATTGATTTTTTTACAGAGAGGAAGGGAGAGAGATAGTTAGTTAGAAACATCGATGAGAGAGAAACATCAGCTGCCTCCTGCACATCTCCCACTGGGGATGTGCCCGCAACCTAGGTACATGCCCTTGACCGGAATCGAACCTGGGACCTTTCAGTCCGCAGGCCGACGCTCTATCCACTGAGCCAAACCGGTTTCGGCGAAAATACTTTTTTTTTTTTTTTTTAAGCCTAGCCAGTGTGGCTCGGTGGTTGAGCATTGACCTATGAACCGGGAGGTCATGGTTCAATTCCCAGTCAGGGCACATGCCCGGGTTGCAGGCTCGATCACCAGTGCGGGGTGTGCAGGAGGCAGCGGATTGATGATTCTCTCTCATCATTGATGTTTCTATCTCTAGGGCCAGGACCTGGCCTGGAAGTAGCTCCGCTGCTTCTTCCACCCTGAAATCAATAAATACATTTTTTTAAAAGAGCCAGTTCTATGAGATCAGAATTTTTTTTTAACCTTAAATATATATTTTTTATTGATTTCAGAGAGGAAGGGAGAGATAGAAACATCGATGATGAGAGAGAATCACCGATTGGCTGCCTCCCGCACGTTTCCTACTTGGGGGGATCGAGCCTGCAACCTGGGCATGCGCCCTTGGCCAGAATTGAACCTGGGACCCTTTAGCCCGCAGACCAACGCTCTATCCACTGAGCCAAACGGGCCAGGGCGAGATCAGAATTATTATCCCCATTTTACAGATGAGAAAAGTGAAGCCCATAGTGGTTAAGTAACGTATCCAAGGTCAAATGGCCAGTGACTAGCCTGGGCCTGACTGGAACTCAGGTTGACTTGACTCCCGAGTCCATGCTTTTGCCTCACATGGGTATGGGAACTTGGGAAGAAGCAGAGAGGCTGGTGTGACTTCCCTGCCCCTTCAGACAGGACCCTGGTCACTGTGCTGACTCCGGAGGCCATCACCCTCCAGGAAGCAGAGCCCATACGCATGCTGCAGATCGATGTGAGTTGTCCCCAGGCATAAAGAGCCTGAGTCCTGCTTCTCAGCCCAGTCCTCCTTGCATCTACTTCTCTCTGCCCAGAGTCCTGCCTTCTCTGTCTCCATTGCCCCTCTCCCTGCCCCTGGCACTTGAGTGCCCGTTGGGCTACCTTGACCCTGTCCTGTGGCATGCTTCTCAGACTCGCTCTCTTGGATCCACTTTCTTTTTTTCAGAAATGGAATTGAGTTCCCTCTCCATGTTCTTCCTCTCACAACAGGGTGAACGAGACCTCCCAGAGGTTAGCCGTCGAGACTTGGACCTGCTCATTGCTGAGGAAGATGAAGCTATCTTGTTGGAGGAACAAGGCAGGCCTGTCCAGCAGTGTGGGACGTGCTTGGTTCTGGACAGTCAGGCCCCGGGCATGGGCAGTCTGGGCTTGGGCAGTGCTCCTATCTCATCCCTTCTGTACTCTGAGCCTTGATCCTCTCTCTCTCTGCAGTGTCCAAGGAGGAACCTCGAGCCCCAGAAGTGGAAACTATAGTTCCCCCTCTCTCACCTCTAGCTCTTCCACAGTAAGGACAGGAACCCCTGAGCTTAGTAGGGGGTCAGTGCTGGGAGGAGTGTTCTCATCGCTCTTGCCATTTTCTGTCAGGGTGGAAGAGGCCGCAGAGCCACTTCCAGGCCGGGTCCTGGCCCCAGAGGAGGTGAAGCCAGCAGTCTGGGAGCCGGAGGCCCTGCTTGCTGGTGAGTACCATCATGCCTGGATCCTTCCTAGGGGCACCTGCACAGCTGTTGCAGACAGGGGCCCTGTATTCCCTCTTGCTAAAGGCAGGGCCCTCTAGCGTCTTGCCTGGGTGGCTGGCTGTGAGGGCAGAGGGTATGGGGCAGAGCCAGGACCTAGCATGTCGTTGCAGAGGTGACGCCCCCGCCCCTGAAGGAGCTACCTCTCCCAGCTCCACTCAGCCCAGAGGTGAGTACTCGCCCTTCTAAGCCTTCTTCTCTTCACTCTCCTCACCCAGAGCCGCACACCCATAATCAGCTTCCCCAAGCCCCAGGCTACTGCTAGCCTACAAAAGCCTTTGTACATCCCTAGCCGGTTTGGCTCAGTGGATAGTGTGTCAGCCTTGGGACTGAAGAGTCTCAGGTTCAATTCTAGTCAAGGGCACATGCCCTGGGTTGCAGGCTTGATCCTCAGTAGGGGGTATGTAGGAGGCAGCCTGTCAATGATTCTCATCATTCATGTATCTATCTCTCCCTCTCCCTCTCTGATATAAACATTTATTTTTTAAAAAACCTTTGTGCAAATTAGTAAAAGGTGGCGCTGCCTATACCACAATTTAACCAGCTGAAGGGTAGGCGCTGCACATGCTCCTGGAGTGCCCACCCAAGCCCTTTCCTAGGGTACCCCAGGGGCCTGTTTGCAGTCCCACCAGGACGTCAGAAAAAGGAGTAATTGGTAGCTTTGCCCCCACCTCCCTCCCCCTCTGCAGAGGAGGCCCCCAGCCTCCCCACCTGCTCGCCGCCGCCGCAGTCGCCGCCGCCAATTATTGTTCTGGGACAAGGAGACTCAGATCTCCAGGGAGAATTTCCAGAAACAACTGCAAACCAGAGCTCATTGCTGGGAGTGTGTGAGTGCAGCCCAGACTTTGCAGGGGCTGGAGACAGGGAGGGCCTGGGGTAGGTACATGCTGGGCCTTGTAAACTCCTGGGAAGGCATTGGGAACATCCCCTTAAGTGCATGCATTGGGGTCTGCACATAGCTCCCATACTCCTTTAGTGAGTCTGCCCAGCATATGCCGGCACCAGTTAAAAATCTGACTTTTGGCAATGAGCACAGCAGGCAGGGGCATGAGCCTGGAAGTTGGAAGACCAGAAGCTCTAGCACAAGGCCTTGCAGAAGTAGAGAGGGGCAGTGTGGAGTGACTCACTCTTAACTAGGCTCTGACCTTCCCTATCATGCAGCCGATGGTGCAGCCCCCCGAGAGGATCATCAGAAGCCCCACAGAGCTGTTTCAAACCCCAACTTACTGTAAGAGTGATGGGAGTTGGCATGTGGGATCCTCATTCTTGGTGTTCCTCGTGCCTCAAACCCTGTCCCTGCTGCCACCTTGTCCCCACCCAGCTGGCTGGCTACCCCCAGAACTGCTGGCTTTCTGGACCCGCTGTGCCCAGCCACCCCCAAAAGCACTCAGACGAATGCCCCTGGAGCCTGAAGAAGAGGCTGCTGAGAGGGAGGCAGCAGCTGAGGAGGAAAGGAGAAAAACGGAAACCCTGAGTGATATCGAGGTAACTGCGCCCTCACTCCTTCCTGAAGGACCTGCTTTGCTTAAGCTCCAGCAGTCTGCCTTCTGCCCAAGTGAGCCAATGGCATCAGGCTCGGGTGGCCTGTCCCAGAGCCAAGGCCGTTTCAGGGTGGGGACTGTTTCACTTCTGCCCCAAGTGCTTCTGTGATGCTTGGGGTCTTAATTCTCTTGCTTTTACCCCCAGGTCCTGAGGGAGGCCCAAGAGCCCAGTGGGCCCCTTATGCTGTCTTCAGGTGAGCACCTGAAGGGGCGGTGAAGACCACCACCCTAACCACTGTTCCAGGAAACTGGTATCCCAACTGCTGACAGTTTTTGTCAGAGGGAGTATTTAACACAGAAAGCATAGGTTTGGTTTCAGTTCTCCCTCCTGGGTGCTTGTAAGTCACTGCACAGCCCTGACATCCAGTTGAATCAGGTGGCCCCAAGGCCCCAGCTGCTCAGATCCAGGCAGACTGAATCAGGACCTTCCCTCCCCCAACAGAGCTCTCCATAGAAGCAGCTGAGGAGGAGAAGTCTCGCATCAGCCTCATCCCCCCGGAGGAGCGGTGGTAAGCAGCTAGGCCTGGTGAGCTCAGGCACAGCCCTGGCCACGTGGGGTAGTGCTAGGACGGGCATGCCCCTGGCCACCATCAGTCACATCTACTTCCCTGCTCCACCTGACTCCCCGTGTTCTCCTAGGGCCTGGGCTGAGGCGGAGCAGCCAGAGCCCCCTGTATTGCCTGTGGTGCCCGAACTCCCCGAGGTGCCCATGGAGATGCCTTTGGAGCTGCCTCCGGAGGCAGAGCTGCTCTCACTTGAGGCTGTGTACAGGTAGGTACCAGGGAGGGGTTGCCTCGACTGGGTGGGCCTGGTGGGGGCTTTGGCTAACAGTTCTTGACCCCTACAGGGCAGTGGCACTGGAGCTGCAGGCCAACAGGAAGCCTGATTTCAGCAGCCTAGTGTCACCTCTTAGCCCTCGCAGGATGGCTGCCCGGGTCTTCTACCTGCTCCTGGGTGAGTGTGGGCATGTGTGTATGGGAGACACATTGGCTAGAGGCCACGGTAGGGACTCCCCCTGACCAGCTCCCTTTTTCTGCCTTGACAGTGCTCGCAGCCCAGCAGATCTTTCGCATGGAACAAGAGAAGCCATACGGGCGCCTCCTGATCCAGCCGGGTCCCCGATTCCAGTGTGGTTAGAACAATTTAGAAGCTGCCAAAAAACCAGCTACGTTAAACCCTGTCTTGCCCTAGACTATGCCTGTCTCCTTTCTGGAAGTCACCTTTGTTCTTCCTGCTCTCAGAGCAGAGCTACTGTTTAAGCAGAAAATGAACTGCCTTTATTACAATATGTTGTCGCAGGTCAATTTGTATTGTCCCACAGCATAGCAGATCCAGCTCCAGGGAGAGCTCCATAAGGCATACAGTAAGCAGGGCTGGGGCCCCAGGATCTGGTAAGGCATGAGGCGGAACTGGGCTGAGAGGTAGTTCTGGGGCCCAGGCAGGCTCTTCTCTCTGACCCAGCTGCAGCCCACAGTCTAGATGAGGCCCAGGAGGGCCTGGAGTTCCTGAGCCTTGTCCCCAGGCAGTGAGCCCAGTGCTGTGTGGAAGCTGTCGGTGTGCTGTTCGGCCAAGAATGTCAGGAGCAGCAGCAGTGTGGCCTTGGTGTCTGGGTGGGGTAAAGGGAGAGATCCAGGGAGGACTGGCCCCCAGCCCCTAGATGCCCCAGACCCTCTGAGCCTTGCTGCTCCTTGCCTCCCCGTCCTGCCCATGAAGGCCACCCTCACCTGATGGGATCTTGTCGTCAGCCTGAATGAGGCTGCAGATGCGCAGGAGCTCAGGAGCCACATCTACAACCTGTGGAAAAAGAAGGGCCAACTTGGGCAGCAGCACCCTGAGCCCCAGGACTGGGGTGGGTGTTAGGGGCCAAGGAGAGACAGTCCTTCTCCCACCAGGGCTGCTGGAGCCCGACACTAATTCACAAGAACCCAAGATAATTGTAAAGCATGAGAAGGACCCATGAAACACTATGATGATCATTTTAGGGGTGGGGAGTGGGGAGGATTAGGGAATTGTGATTAAAGATGATTGAAATCATAGCCTCAAGATCAAAAGCCCAAATACCCAGGAGCTCTACCAACACAATTTCTGAAGGGGAAAGACACAGGAACACTAGGACATCAGTCCAAACCTAGCTACTTGGTGCAGTCAGATCTCAACAGAACTGCACTGGATGGTGAGTGGCCCAGACTGGTACCCAAGCTCCATGAAGCACAGCCTGAAAGAGCCCTGTTCTAGGAAACCAGCCGAGTCAGGTTGTGACTTCAGATCAGACCAGAGGATGGAGGCTCCCTGAGGAAAAATGCTATGTGGAGACAGGAAGCACTTCCTCTCCATGACAGGCCTGGCTATCAATCCTTGCAGACCAACGAGAAAATGGAGTGTCAAAGGGCAGCTTCAACCACCACTGTGCATCACCTACAGCTGAGGCCAACTCTGCCTGCCACTGAGAAGGGAGTATTAAGACGGGGGACGCTCCAGCACTGGGGTTACCTGCTCAGGGCTGCTCTGGTGCAGGAAGCTGAAGAGGTGTCCTATGGTGGCCCACTCCTCCAAGTCCTCCTTCAGGGGCAGGGCGTGCAGCAGAGCAGTCAGCACCTGGACAGACAGATGGCTCTGGTCTCTTGCCCTGCCCCCTCCTCAGCTTCCTACCACTGCCCAATGCCCCTACCCCTCACCTGGGGCTCTGGTTTCCTTGTGGGACTGGCCATCAGTAGGCGGGCCAGTGCCCCACAAATGTTATCATGGACACGATTATGGCGTTCCCGTGCCAGGAGGGGCAACAGGAGCCCCACCAGCTTGGAGAAGTATCTGATCCGAGGTCAAGGAAAAGGCACTCTCATCCCCAAGCCCGGGGACACTCCCCCAACCCCACCCCAGCCACTTTTGGAAGCTGAGGATACTCCTGGGCAGGACGGCCCCCGTGCTCGGCCAACACGCCCAGTCCAAAGATGGCATTGCTCCGCACTTCAGGGTCTGTCTCCCGGGCGGCGTTCAGCAGCACCGGGAGCAGGCGGGACACAAACTGGGCTGAGGCAGCACCCAGGCCCTGAATGGACTCCGCCAGCGTCCCCACTGCAAAGGACTTCTCTGCCACTGTGCAGCCCTGTTTCTGATGGGAGGAGTGCAAATCAGCCTGGGGCTGAGACAAGGGGGGCGTTGGGCAGAATGGGGTAGAGCACTCACTGTCTTGCAGAGCAATAATGGCAAGAACCCAGCGAAGAAGGGGGCAAAAGTGTCTCCCCCTGCTGCAGCTGCCAGGGCAGGAATGGCCTCACCAGCGTACTCTAGCAACATGGCATCGTATTCAGCCTGTGGGGCCAGAGCACCAGGGCCAGCTCTGAGACTGGCACCTCCCACCATGCTCCTCCACTGCTGACGGTGGTCCCTGTGAAAGGACTGGCCCCTCCCAGGCTGGGCTTGTTTGTGACCCAGCTTTTTCTCTTGGCCCTCCTACTCTCACCTACCAACCCAAGCCTGCCCTGCACCCCCCACTCCAGGAAACCTTCCTTGAACCCCCACTGCCTGAGTGGGAGCAGGGTTGTATCACTCAGAACCATTACCAATCTTTTAGTAGCCCTGGCTCCCCTAGGCCAAGTCCAAGTGCACTGTCCACCCCGCCCTGTGGAGACTACCGGACAAATTACCTGGTCTCTCAGTTTGCATCCATAGCTCTCACCTGGTCCTCGTCCTCCTCCTCCTCCTCAGTGTCCTGACAGGCTGTCTGTAGGACGAGGTAGCTCAGCTCAGCCTGAGCTTTCTTGTCCCTTCCCCTCTCCATTGGGTGAGGGCAGGGGGAGCTGGACTTGCAGCCTCTGACCATCCCCACCTGGGGCTGGGCCACCTCTTCATCCTGCAGCACCCCCGGCCTTGCTCACCTTCCTCTGCAGCACAGCCTTGAGCATGTTGCAGAGCTCAGCAAGGCGCCCGGGGGGCTGCAATGTGAGGCTCCCACAGCTGCGCAGCACCCCAGTCAGGGCCTCCAGCACAGCCATCACCACTTGGCGCTCCCGCTCCCCGTATACTGCCTGCATGTAGGACGGTACCACCTGGGCCAGGATGACCTGCAGAGCTGAGGATATGATTGGCTGAAGTCCTGGTCAGGCCCTGCCCCTCTACCCCCCAACCCCTGGTTCCACAGGCCCCAGCCTGGCCCCGGCACCCTTCTCACCAGCAGTATTGGGTTCTGAGAAGCTTTGAGAGGTCTTGTGCACCGCACAGCAGAACTGTCCCAGAGCCTCATGGGCTGCCTTTCGCACATTCAGGTGAGGGCACTGCAGGATGAGGAGTGGAATGTGCCTGCTCTGTGCAGGGGGAACAGAGGGCCCCTAACTCTCAGTCCCCACCCACTTCACCCACTGTCCACTCACCTCCAGAAGTTTGAGTACTTCTTCAAAGACACTCTCCATGTAGGGAAGGAAGGCCACACTGTGAACAGACACATGGCCATGGGGAAGAGGCTCCCAGGCAGGGTACCCAGTGCCAGGGAAGGGCCGATACTCACCTGGTGTTCACAGAGATCTCCCCCAGGGCAGCACAGGTGTCTTCCTTCTCATCAAAAAAGGCATTTTCCACACTGTACCTAGAGTAAGGTGGGGAGTTAGCAGTGATCAGGCACCAGCAGGCGCAGGTCTGGCACTGGCCCGTTGTCCAAAGCTAGGATTCCTCTAACCATTTCTACAACGGCACCCCTCCGCACCCTGAGATCTCTGAGTCATCCTCCTCTTCCTCATCCTCATCCATGAGTTCCTCCTCTTCCTCTCCATCACTCTCATCATCAAACAGAAGAAAGGAGCTGCTGCTGTCGTACTGAGGCTGGACAGAGAGGCACAGCAGGGATTTTGCCTCAGCTGGTTTGAGATAAATCTCACCCTCCGGCCAGCCTTCCCCAACCACCTAGCCCTCCCATTCCGCTCACCACAATGCCCTCAGTGGAACGCAGTGACAACAGCATGAGTCTGGTGATTTGTGGCAGGTAGGGTGCCAGGCCCTCACCCATCAGCCCCGATAAAGCTGCAAACAGGCTGTACCTGGTGGAGGCAGGTGGAAGCTGCACAGTCCTGCCTCCTACAGCCAGACAGGATGGGGGAGCCAGGGGAAACCTATGGTCCAGAACCAGAGGACTGAGGTCTGGAGTGGGGACAAACGAGGGCTCACTCACGTGCAGCGCCGCAAGTCAGGGTCGTCTACCTGGTCACACAGGCCCAGCCCCAGCTGGCAGCATTCCTCAGCCAGGGGCCTCATGGGCTCCCCCAATGCTCGTGCCAGCAACCCCAGTGTCTCTGTGGGGGCAAAGACTTGGTTAGCACTGGGATGTGGAGCTGGTCAGAGGAATGCAGGGCCAAGGCCTGGGACCAAAGGTGGCAGCTGGAGGTAATTCAGAAATCCCACCTACTCTTAGATACAATGGGAATGCCTTCAACGAGCAGGAAGACACCCAGGCTGCCCTGGGAGACCTCTGTGAACACCAGGTGAGCACCAGCCCTTCCCTGGCACCGGGAACCCTGCCTGGGAGCCCCTTCCTTACCCAGGCTCTGGATCCGCAAAGGCTGAAGGTCCTCATGGCCTATCATCAGGAAGCCCCGCAGGTGCTCCATGACGGTGGGGAAGTAGGGCAGCAGGGAGGCCTGGGCAGCCGTGGCTGAAGGACAGAATCAGGTGTGGGATGTGGGGGGTGCCGGGATCAACTGCTACAGGCTTTCTGGGTGAACCCCGTGCCCTCTTTCCTGCCTCCTTCTCCTCACCAATGGCCCCCAGGGCGCTCACAGCCAGCTCCTTGGTCCGGGGGCTGCTGGGGTTCCTCAGAGGCTGCAGCATACATTCCATAAGCTCCGGGAGATAGGGCTGCACTTTCGGCCCTGTGGGAAAGGCCATTCCTCTCACAACCAAACCAGGTCTCCCCTTCCGGGCGTCCAACTGGTTCTAGGCTGACACTCCTGTAGCTCTGCCACACCCTTTTCCCCACCACTGGCAGCAGTTCTAGGAGTGGCATATCCTGCCCTACTTCAGCCAAAGCTATAGCTTTGTCCCCTACCACGAACCCCCAACTGCCATCACTACCTAGGTTCTCCACGAAATTCTCAAGGGCATAGCAAGCCCTGGCTAGATGGTGTGTGTGCCCAGGAGACACCGACTTCAGGTAGGCAAGGAGCAGTGGCATCACCTCCCGTGAATAGCTGCTGATTTGAGGCTGTGGGAGAGAGCGAGTCCTGAGTCAGCTCAACCGCAGGGCACGTACCTATACCTAAGTGCCAACGGCAGAAGACATGAGGCTGGTCCCCGGGACGAGTGGCTACCCACATGCAGCCCCGCTGACCTGTAGGTTCTCTGAGAACTGGCCCAGGGCAAACAGCGCAGCATTACGCACAACTTGCGAGGGGTCCTCTAGGCCCTTGCACACAATCTGCAGTAGTGGAGGCAGCAGTCTGGATGAGGCAGGACAAGAGAACATATTCTGAGAGACCTAGGCTGAGCTGTTCTCCTGTTTCCCCTGGGAAAACCAAGGGTTTTTCCATCATTGGATGGTAGGTACCATCCCCTGGTCCCTTTAGCTGGGACAGCAATTTATTTTTCAAATCAGAATACTTCTGAGATTAGAGGGTAAACATTACTGATAATTACGCATGAATGACAAGCATAGACCAGGACTACCATGGGCCATGTGGTCCTCCTTCCCATGGTCTACCCTCACTGTAAGACGGAAATAAACACCTCTGCCTGATGTGGTCGCTAGCTCCATCAGACAGCACAGCCAGTACCAGGAGCCCAGCCTTGCGCTGGTATGGGTTCTCACTCCGCAAGGCCTCTTCCAGCATGGGCATCTAGGGGAGCACAGGACATTCTCCTGAAACCCCAGCAAAAGCCTGCCCATTCTTGTGGCAACAGGCCCTCCACACCCATAAGGGCCTAAATATCCTCCACCTTGGGGGACTAGGCACTCCTGGGGGTAGGGGCACCGGGGCACCAAAAGAATGGAGCCACACTTACCAGCGGGGTAAAGAGCTTCTCAGGGGGCAAATGTAGTGCCAACATGTCCACAACCTAAAAAATGACAGGGAAACTTCACTGGACTCCATCTCTGCCCCCCAACCTCCCACAGCCACCTAAGACCCTGCCCCCCTGCCCACTTTGTCTCACATCCCACCTGTACAGCAAAGTGCTTGGGTGTCTCTCCCACCAGCCCAATCTCCAGTTCTTCCTCCTCTGCATCCCGGTCCTCCGGATCCAGCTGGCCCAAGGGGGGCTCGGCAGCCATAATGGGGAAAAGGGTGTGCAGCAAGGAGGGCAGGAGACGATTCTTCAGTAAGGCCTTGAAAGGGAGGGTGGAGAGGTGTCCCTGAGAATCTGCTCCCCAGATGGACTCACTTTACAAATTCTAGTCTCCCAGGCCAGAAAGGGGTCTGGCAGGAGATTCCAAATCTCCCAGCCAGGAGCCAGGACGAGGACAGGCCAAGTCTTAAGCATCTTAGCTATGGTACTTTAGATACTCCAAGATGGTAAAAAAAAACCAAAAAAAAAAACCAAGAGTGAGATGAGGGATGGAGGTGGCATTGTGTGTGTCAGAGGGCACTCACCTTGCTCTTGACTTTGACCAAAAAAGTGAGGCTGCAGAGAATACGCACACGAACTGCATCACCCAGAGCCACGTTTCCAGCCACCTGTCCAGAGACTAAGGCGAATCAGAAACAGACACACACACAAAAAATCCAGAACAAGCAGCAGGGGCCATGCCCACCCCAGGCTCACCCCAAGGCAGAATGTGAGGATCTCAGAGAGGTGGGGGCTGATGATAGGCATTTCTGACTCCAGCAATTCATCCAGGGCCTCCAAGGCCTCACAGGCCTTTGCCTGCCACACAGACAGACAAGTCATAGGGTTACCATCCTATTATTCAGTGGACCAGGCTGGATGCTCCTCTTCCCTTCCAACAGAGGTCCTCCCAAATGTCCTCACCTCATCTACAGAGATCAGAGTCTGCACGGCCGTGATGAGCTTAGGCACTAACATCCGTGCTAGAAGCTGGAGGACAAAGGATGAGTTGAGTCACAGAAAACATGATGCAGCCTAGTCTTAGGCCCCAGAAGCTGGCAGCTTCCTTGAAATCTGGACACAGGAGCAGCCCAGGTACAGCCACCCAGTCTCCCCTCTCAAGTGTTAGGAAGGACAAAAGGCAGAGAAAGAATCTAAAGTAGCTCTGTGTCCTGCAAGGGTAAGGACATAAAGGCTTGACAATAGGGGGCCTGGGAAGGGGAGGGCCCACATCTCACCACGTCATCAGGGCCAAGATAAGGGGCCATGGCGGTCAGAGTGCGCAGAGAGTAGAAGAGCAGCCCAGGAGAGCCCGCCTCACCAAGGGTCTCCTTCAGAAGCCGAAGAAGCTCCCGGTAGTGGAGTCGGAAGGCCTCAGGCCGGGAGGTCACCACTACACTTAGCAGCATAAGCCCCATCTGTCCAGGAGTGGGGGACGAGAGGGAAAAACTAAGTGGTCTATCCAGCCTCTTGGCCCCTCCCTCCTGCCAGCCATGTGACAGTACCTCTCTCTCAGGGACGTGGGGACTGTGGGTACTGTGCTGAAGAAGCTGCATGAGCTGAGGCCAGGCCTGCAGGCCTTCCTTCCGAAAAATAGTGGCTGAGAGCTGGGCCAGGCTAAGGCTCACATTGTGCCTGTGAACAGGAGAGATTCCCCAACCCCAATCACCCTCCAATACGCTCCCCTGCACATGCTGGCCCTGCCTCCATGGGGTGGCCAAGAGAGAAACTTCCGGGTGGGGACGCAGGGTCTTTGCCAGGTTGGGACACATAAGACAGAGGCTCAGGGCGAACAGCATGGTGGGGGTACAATCTGGTGAGCTTGACCTCATTCATACTGAATTTCAGTTCCATTCTTCGGCAGAACATCACGGCACATTCTCAAGAACTTCCGTCTTCAACACCCCTTTAGAATCCTTGCGCTACCCTTGGACTAAAACTGAAGTCCCTGCCCCCCAACTCCCAGCCTGGAGTTGAAAGAGAGGGCAGAAACCCGGAGTGGGTATCAGCCTGGGGCCAGTCAGCATCCGGGAGAAGGTGCGTGGGTGGGGGAACTTACTCCGTCTCTCTCTGGAGGGTCGTCAGGACCAGGGACTTGAGGCTGGAACACAGGGGCCGGCATGTGTTTGGTCCTCGCCCGCCCGC